TACAGTATCCAGAGCATCCATGCCCAAACCATAATTCTGTTCGTGTTCCAAGAGCATACGGTCACCAGAGCATCCATGCCCAAACCTGAGTGCGCTCGCAGCAGCAAGGGCAGCCTTGCCAGCAACTTGGGGTGCCACCCAAAAGATTTCTTGTCTTGGTCCTGGAACCGGATTTCAAGTGGTTGTACGATTAGCCAAAGCACAGGCTAAAAAAAAGGCTCAGCGCGAAATGCCACGCCTGCGAACAAACTCGAAACATTTTCTGGAAGTCAGCCGCACTTTTACAGATGACCAAGCACATATGATCGTGCCACGCCTGCTAGGGTTTTTGCTCTGCACGCCGATCGATGTCCAAATCGGCGCGCTTTTACGTACCTCCCGAGCGTTTGGGGGGGGCCACACTAATCAGGATCCAGCGTCGTCGATTGTAGCACCTCCGCCGGAAATGACGCCCACGCTGCCGCTGGTATGATTGCTGGAGACCATGCACGTGCGGGTGCTACCACAGTGGTGGGCCAAAGCGGTGGCCAGGCCGATAATTTAGCACCTGCTAAAAAGGTTGGGGCCTAACTCTCCCACAAGACCTCCACTTTCAATGGAATGTGGACGACCCGCACAACGTGGAAGGGCCTCGCGTGGCCGTGCTCCGAACTTTGAAGATCTGAAGATGGATCGCTTGACACCAATACAGAAAGACAACGCAGGCTGAAGGGTAATGACTAGCATATCATTCCTGGTCAGGATGCGGCATGATCATGAGACACAAAGACGCCTGACCTGCCACGTCCTCATGGCTCAGGCCCATGCAAAAACACCGCACTGCAGCGGATTTTGTTGCAATTTTGATTTGTGAAAAAATCAGAGAGCACCCATGCCCAAACCATGATGACTTCCAGGCTTGACTGCATGCAGCTACCCAAACACCCCATTAAAACAGGAAACCGCTCATGTTCGACCGCATGCGGTTCCCAGAGCAACCAAACCCAAACCATGATAATGTCCAGGATCTTGCAGTTTTGACTTCAGGCTCTTTCCAGAACACGCGTGCCCAAACCCTGATATCATATCTTTCACGTTCGACTGCGTACGATTACCAGATTCTGCCTGCCCAAAATGTTAACGAATGAATGTTATGTGGTCGGCTTTTATAGAGTATGAAAAGTGTGCGCGATAGTGATATTGACTTGCTGTAAAAAAAAACATGTCAGTTTTCTTTGTGGGCACCAAGAATCAGTTGAGGAGGTTTGTTGTGGCCATCTGATTGCCCAAAGTTCTGCCTACTACTTTAGAATTTTGCAGAAGACACCAGGATGCAGCCTGCGTTACCTTGCGTGTGAAGGTTCCTGGTGTTGAAACGTGTTGCCACAAAACCAATTGATTTCTTTTTTGATGCAGCCGCCGGCACACTGCTTCTGCGGATCCGTGCAGGTTACCAAAACTTGAAGATGCAGATGGAGAACCAGCAGCGCATCATCCAGCAGCGCGTGGAAAGGCAGATCTGAGTTTGGGAGCCTCCAGAAGGTGACGATTTTTGTTTTGGCAGGTACCCAATTACTGCCCCGATGGTGAACAACACCTCCAGGCCTCCCTCTGGGGGCATCGCGTCTCTCGGCTATTTTGCGTCGGGAAATCACTTGTTCGCTTCTCCATATTGCCGAGGTCATAGCCGCCATACCCATTTCGTTTCACATTTCAGAAGCTTGCAGCAAGAAGGCGGCGCTGTTGGAGCCGGTGTAGCAAATTCCAGGTTTACTTGAAAGGCTTCTGTCCGCTCGCTCCTGCCAACTCAGGAGCAAAAGGTAGAAAGTGTTTCACCGCTCGATGAGACGGCTTGCCTGCCGCAAACAAGTTGAATGCCGCGCTGTTTTGCTATGTTTTGCTGCTGTTTGGTTGGTGACGAACATCCCGCAGCACTTCTCGGACAGCCCTGAGACCAACAGGACACATGCGAACAGAGTCTATGGCGAGACCAACAACACGAAGCCTAAGCTTTTCATTTCCGGGAGTTTCTGGGAGCCTGGCCGCCACCGGCCACCGGCATCAGCTTAATATTTTTTGGGCATGGACGACTACCGCGAGGCAAGGCCTCATTTTACGCAGCTTGTTTTCCCCTACTCCCAGACAGGCTCAGCGGACGAAGTGGCTGAAAGCTCAGGCTGAGGCGGCAGAGGCCCAAAAGCTCCAGAGACAAGGAGAAAGACGAGAACCGGCCTTTTTAGATGCCTTTTTGTGAGAGGCCGAAAGCTCAAAGCCCTCTGTTCCTCTGCCCTCCGCTTCGCAGGCAAAAATTCATCTAGTTGACTACGTATTCTCATGGGGAGCAGGGGACTTCGTCCCTTTTCTTGGACGTGAGCTTGGAAGGGGAATTCCATTTGGATGCCTCCGTAGCAGCAAGAGTAGTTGAGCCATATCTTCTCGCAGTAGTCCAAAGTGAGCCGTCTTGTTTGCAGGCAGATTGTATGTGGCGTGCTGATAGCTGTTGGGCCACGGAGCACTTGAGCTTGGAAGTGGGCTTCTTGCCTAGTAACACGGTGCACGTGATGAAGGCGTTTGGACCCCACAGGCATCACGCTCATTCGGGCTTCGCAGGCTTTAAAGGAACCACAAGCAATAAGCACCTCAAGTCCTTTGCCCGCGGCATCTAATGATGTATCGCAAGAAAACGTCGTTTGCAGCCACAATCAAAGTCAGAAGCTCCACTGAAAGCTGCATTAATCCTGTCGCACGTCTGTACGAACTGTTCGGGGAGCGATTGTTGAGATGGTTCTTTTTGTACCTGGCTCATCCTTGCACTTCCGGATTCTTACCGATGTATCGTAAACTACACGAGAGTGCGAGAAGACAGTGGATTAGGGGTCGTCTGGAGACAAAGGGTTCTCTCAGGATTTGGGCTACGTCCCTTCTTAAATTCCGTGTGCTAGCTGCTGCTGTTGCTGTCCTGTTTTATATTCAGCTTTAGTGGCACGTGCTCAGTCATCAAAGCCAGCGAGGCGTCCTCGCACGCGGACACGACGGAAGTGAAGCTTCCGCAGCTCAGCAGAAGTGGCACCAGCGAGATTATCTGCTTGGGTTGAGAGACGATGAGATGTTTACTGCACAAACAGCTGTGTGCTGAAATGGCCTGCACGTCATGAGCGACTTGGTTGGTTCTGGGTACAAACTGTCGTATCTCCCATGCAGTTTTATTCAGCTGCAATCCGCTCCGCCAGTCCAGTACAGCGGAAAAAGGCAGAGTTGAGACTCGAAAGGCCAACCAAAAGACATGCTGTCGGCTTTTCACCTCAGGAACGCGCGCCGTGTTCACATCTTGCCCGTGTTTCCAAGTTCATGTGACCAGAACCAGTGGGGATCTCAGCATGAGGGGCAATGAGGAGCAAGGCTTCCGCAGCTGCCTTGCTTTGTACTTACACCCAGGCGTTTGGAGATCTTGTCGCCTGTTCTACGAAGCATGAGAGCAAAGCAGGCCTCCTTATTTTGGCTTCCAAGAGTTGCAAGCACGTCTGCAAGCTTGCATGCAGACACCCGTGAAGACGGGCCTGTTTCTCAGACCAGATGGATACGAATTCGTGGTGGCCAAAGTCTCAGGATTCCGATGCAAAATGCAGAGCTCTTCTCCCAGAGCTCGCTAAGGTTAAGTGCGAACCGGATGAAGCCGTTCTAGCACAGCCCCCAGATCTGGATCATTTGTGGCAGTCGCCACTTCACGGAACTTGAGGCCATGAACACCGACTACTTTATTGAAGGGTCACCTCTGAAAAGGTTCGAGAAGGCCCTGCCTAGAACGGGGAGCCCGCATATCGTGACATCTTGGTGTCACAGTGTGTGTGTTTACAAAGCTTCTTGAGGTGCAATTCATCTGCCTTTGGGACTTTGAGCGCACGCGCACGGATCAGGCGGAGATGTTTGAAAAAACAAATGTGCAGCAACATAAACCCAAGAAAAGAAGCTCAGCTCAACAAAAAGGATGCCACGGCCTTGTTCCAAGAGTACATCAATCCCTACTTCAAGAAGATCAACTCCAGCGAGGCGGGCTGCCCTCCCCAAAGTGACCGAATCTTCCACCTTTTCCGTATTCTGTCAAGGCAAGCCCCTCCGTTGCTTTTTCTTTTCCTTATACTCATGGCATATTACATCTAGGTCACGAGCATCGTCAGCGTGCATGATCACCTCCAGATCAACGGCATGGAATTTCAGGCTGGATGCTAGCCTCAGTTCTCGGTGCACACGGCGCGCCGCAGGTGATGGCTGCTGAGCCCGTCCCCCCAGAAATTGGCATCGTGGACATGAGCACAGTGGTCGGTCTGGCATTTCTCAAATTTCTATGCACACGAGATCTGCAGCTCTGTAATGACAGGTCTTTGTCGATTGGGACAACACGCAATTGCCTCAGCAAGATGCTTCTAGTAGCTTCACCTCCTTGCTTTACCGTGGAAGCACGCCAAGCTTCCTCATCTTCTGCTCTCCACACTCCACTCTCAACTCCACTTTCCATTCTCCACACTCCACTCTCCAACACTCCCCTCCACGCTCCACTCCAATCTCAAATACGCTCCATGCCATCCACTCTCCATTCTCCACACTTCACCCCACTTACTTTTTCATTCTCCGCACACCATCCGCGCTCACTTCCATTCTCCACACTCCACTCTCCACCCCGCTCTCCACTTTGCATTCTCCAAACTCTACCCTCTCCATGCGCTTTTCACACTCCACCCTGCATTCTCCATTCTCCACACTCCACTTTCCACTCTCCAGAGTCAGTATTGCAGCCACGCTCCATTCTCAACACTCAACTCACCCCAATTGTGTTCACTCTCAAAGCAACGATGGTTCTGAGTCTTAGTCTTAGACCAGATTCTAGAGTTGCTTCGTCAGCCTCCTCGCCTGAAACCGCTCATTCCGCTCATTGGACTTCAGTTCATCCCGCGAAGAAGCCACATCCACTGAAATTGATGCAATGTCCTTGGTGAGTCAGGACCATCCTCGCCTATTCCCCAAAAAGATAAAATGCAATCTTCGGAAATTCTCTTATTCCCAAAATACTCATATCTACCTAGGTGCCATGGCCCAAAATAGGCGAGGTGGTCCTTATTCAATTTAGGGGTTTAGGTTGGGCTCTAGATTGCTCCACTCGCTATGAAGCAAGCGGCCTACGCGAACAGCCTCCTCTTCGGCGGGTTTCAGGCTCGTCTCCCTCCCAGCATGCTGTCAATGAGACCATGTGGACGGCTGATGTCACATGATGACGCGATCACGGAGAGCTTTACTTTCGTTAACCGATAACCGTTAATGACTGTAGGACTTGCTAAGGGTATCCCTTCTGGAACCCCCTGCCAATTGCAAATTCGATTCATGCGGCTTTCATCATCAAGTACAGGCCACCAGGGGTAGATGTAGATCGCCATGGCTTCGTTTCGACCAGTTGAAGGGAGCGATTGCACAGCCATCTCAGACACACCCGGACAAAAGCGTGGGTTGGCTTATGAAACAGAGATCCGCCAGCAGCTCCGTTGCGAGAGTCCGGAACAGAAGCGCTGCCGCAAGCAAAAAGCTTGAGCCAGGAAGACAAGGCATACTTGACCAGGTTACCAGGTTGCATGAGAACTTGTACAACAAGACACGTTTCAGTGTTGGGCAGCCGCTGTTAGAGAAGATTTACGACAACTCGCGTCAAGATCATGACGCGTTGATAGAAGCAAGCTGTGATGCAACTGTGGGCCTTGACGTGGACGTAGTGAGTATGTTGAAAGGACAGGCATACCCTTTCTACGGGGCCCGACATGGGATTCTGGAGGTGGGCTTCTCTTGCGCGTTAGTGTGGCTTAAAGTGTATCAGTTGGAGAGGCGCCTTATGATTGCTACAGCTTCTGGCAAGTTGGATCTCGCGAACGGCCAGCCCACAACGGGTGACTGGAAAACTGGTCTGAAACAATTTCGTCCAGATGGTCCCGTACGACGGCTGGTCGAGCAGGGGCGCCTCCACATGGTGCACTTCCCAATGGCACGAGTCCAAGAAGTAGACAGAATCCATACAGAGTATCGCAGCCAGCTGAATCGTTTATACCGGGCTCCCTGGCCGAAAGAATCATCCCAGGGTGTTGACGGACAGTGCTGTGCCGCCTTTACTCTTTACCCCTTTTGCCGATAACTTTTACCCACTATACTCTGCATGCTGTGCCCCACATTGCCAGACAGTAGCCCTCCCTGAACGACGCAATGCCCTGTGTGCATGTCTCTTCATGTACAGCCATGTCAACTCATCTGTAGACCCTGTATCTGATGCCGTATTGGCTCAATACTAGGGCCCTTGAGCTAACCCCGCCTCGCAGTGTTCAAAAGGTCTGCGCGACCAAATTCAAATAACCCTTTCTGCCCTTTTTAACCTCTTATATACCCTGTATAACCCCTTATATACACC